GGAGAGAGGAGCCCTCTAACCCATCATTCACACTTTGTATTTCAGGAATCATAAAATGGTTGCTAATTTCCAACCATAAGCTTTTCAAAAAGCACAGCAATACTGCCTTTTCTCTCCTCCAGTGCAGATGGTGGAAAATAGAAAACAGTGACTTATTTTAACAACTTCTCATGCCTGTCCCCACTACAAGACCTTGCCTGTCTGCCTGGCTTCTGTCTCCCTCTCTCATCTTCTTCTCTCTGTCTCTCTCTCCTTTTTGGGAAAAACCAAACAAAACAAACACTCATTTATTCAATTTATTCTATCTTTATGTAGGGATGTTTGTTAACACTCTTGTTGTTCTTAATACATTTCAACTCCAGCCAATTTACCTATACTTTTTTTTTTTTTTTTTTTTGGTCAAAACACTTCAGTCCTGAATGATGTTCTCTGCATGAGACTTTATCAGTGTCAAGTACAAAAGAATAATTTCCTCCCATGTCTTATATATGACATTGCTGTTACCATATAACCAGATGAGATTTGCATTTCTGTCACAGCACAGCACTGTTGACAGGCACTTTAGCTCTGTTCTTCTCTTCTGATACTGAATAGTGCACTGCCACTTGTCCACTTTGAATGCCATCTCCCTGAATCTTGACTGTCTTTCCAATATATCAAGGTAATTTTGAATCTCAATTCTGGCTCCAAGAATGTTGTTACCCTTGATGGTTTAATGTGCCCTGCAAATTTTACATGAGAACAGTCTTCCATCATTTAACTTAATGAAAGCACTGACAGACCTCTGTCTGAAATACCTTCCTACCTTTAGAGCAAGGTATTAAATCTTTAGGAAAGTGTATTTTCAGCTGCTTTGGTAGTATTGTTGATTATTGCTAGGAGATATCTTCTCACCTTGCTTATATAGATGCTATATAGCTTTACCAGGGTAAGTGCTTCCTTCTGCCTCTCTTTTCTGCTCAAGATATTGAGTCTTTTTTGGATTTTTTTTTTTCAGGTGCTCAGGAAAAGAATATTTTAAACAAATCACAGAGTATCTTTTTCTTCCAGAGTTTCCTGTCTAATTTCTGTGGCATGGTTGCAGCAAATAAGATGGAGGGCTTGAGAATGTTATTATTGTGCCACTGTAGGTGATTGTAGATACGAACAAAAACTTTTCAAAGTGTCTGTATAACCACCCACGGAATAGGTTTAATGCATTCATTCAGGCTGGTTTTCTGAGAATTAATTTACATTTCATGTATTTGAAAGTCTCACATGAAAAGATATTTTTATCATGATTTTTAATACAGTAATTTGATGAGATCATAAGGATTTACCTTGGAAGGATTTATAATTAATTTCTGCATATACAGAAGGTATCATTCCACAAGCGTGAAATTTGTATTTATTTGTTCTCTATAATGTTTCATGAAGGAGAGAGAAAAATATGTGCAATCACAGAGCAATAGGATCTTCTGGTCTCTTCTCTCCTTGCCTTGTGACTGCCCATAAAAATTTTTCAGTGGAAGACCTGTTAAGGGGAAAGAGCCCATGTCTCTTTAAGAAGCAAGAATTAAATTATGAACAAATTCTGGGTTCCATACACCGTTTTAAACTTCCTCTTGCCCTTTCCATGTTAATTTATATTCTACCCTGTCCTAGATACAAGATCTGTTCCCCAAACTGCCTTCAATAATACAGAACATTGTGCAAGGGAAGATCTTTCTTCTTTCTTTCTGTTGAATGTATGATGAGAAAGTTGAATAACCCTCAAGCAAACGCATTTTAAGAACAATCTTGTGGGTGTGGGAGGAACAAGCAGTGAAACAACTGCTGAGTCACTTCCTCCTGCCATGGAAGGTGTCCTCAGGACCCCAGAAAGCCTGTTGGAGTCAAAACTGTGCTTCACTGGTACAACACATCTATCTGGGGCGCCATCAGAAGGCTTCCTGACAAGTCTTTGGGGGAAAGGCAAGATAATTAGGGAACTGACTTTGGAATGTGAGCTGTTAACTTGTGCACTGAGCTCAGTGGAGCAGGAGACTTGTAAATGTCACCGTCAAAACAGATATTTATTAGTTTGAACTGACACACTCCAACTTCCCAGTAAGTGGTGAGAAAATATTCCCTATCATTTAGACATTTAAAACTGCAGCAGATTGAACACAGCCTGTAAAAAATGTTCTCTTGAGCTGAATGCTCTTATAGCAGTGAGGGGAATGATGAGATGAGCAGTTTTGGTCTTTCCCCACTGTTTCTGCCCCCCTACTTTCCTGTCACCAGCTCCAAGATGCTATTGGTTGTTTCTACAGTCAAAATTGTTTCCAGAGGACCAAAGTGGGCAACTTGACTTATATAGTAATGAGTACTGGCCAGAGAACAAAATAATGGGGATACTTTAAAAAAAAAATAATATTGACTTTCTTCCCCTCCTTGCTTACCAACTGCAGGCTGTGCTGTAAGAGAAACCAATCACAGGCTCATTCCCAAACTGTCCAGATGAAAAAGACCTGTAGGCTACTTTGCTTATTGCCATAACTCTCTGGAATTGCTTCCTGCCATATATTTGAGTACTATATTCAGGCTAATTTGCCATAACTTTCCACTAGAAACCTATTCCATACCCTGATAAATCTCATCTCTAGCTCTTCCCGCAACTCCCGTCCTGAAAAACTCAGTTCATATTTTCCTTTGTCCATTTTCATTCTGAATCAGAGATGCTGCCTGAAATATTTAAAGGCTAAGGACCTCAGCAGGCACTGGAGACTGCTGTCGAGGCTTTCCTTGTCATTTTCTTTGCTCTTTGGAAGATCTGGCATTGTAATAAAAATTCCAGACAGGCAAGAAAAATGATCCATATTACTGGACAATCTCCTACCCTTATCTCCTGGAGACAGGACTTTTTTTACCTATGACTTGGGAAAGTATTATTTAACAAGTATGAAGGGAGAAGTGCCTTATAACACAGTTGGTTCTGCCCTATCGAATTAAAGGAATACCTTTACAGAATATGGAGGAGAAATAGAATTTTAAAATAGCCTTTCAGACACGTAGACTTTCTGCTGGGCCAAGAGAATGTTGAAATGGTTCAGGCTTCGTTCTGCCATGCAGAACCCAGCACAGACTCATGTACCCCACTTCTTGGGTGTTGTGCTTTTGTAGTGTCATTGCACTGCCTTGATATGAGGTACTTTGTGCAAGGCTGATGGGACTGTACATATACAATACCCTATAAAGACCTCAAAGGAGACAGTCCCAGCTATAAAGAAGGATATATCCTGATGAAAATCATTCTCCAGGTGCCCAGTATTCCTATAGGGTACTATATATTACCCATTTGTGACTTGTGAGTGCTCATACCTGATTCTGTAAATGCCTACTCCCCTGTTTTACCTTGTCAATGACACCTCACTCAGCACCCACTGAAACTAAGGAAAAGTTTCCTGTCCTTTTCGGGGGGACTGAATCAGACTCAAGTAGAGGATAAAATGAAATTCAACTTCACGGCTACTGGGGACAGGACTGTAAAAATCCTAGTTTAGGAGATAGTTTGGAATTTCTTTTCCCATTTCAGCATTAATTGTGTACAGAAATAAAAATGTTTTGCCATTTTCATCCAGATCTTTGAGATCTTCATCAGCTTATTGGTCTTAATACACGTACTGAATCCTGCTTTTATGTTGTTAGCAGGAATCCTTGTAAGTGTCACTGAAGTATAAAGAAAGCATTATTTCTCTGAGCAACTGGTGATGAAGGTGTGCTATGTTGGAAAAAAATGGCCCTTTTTGTGTGTATATTATCACTTTCAAGCCCTCTCTTGGTTATCTCTCTTCATTCCACACAAGGACGGTATTAATAGCCTGGAGCCATCTCTTTGTGCCCTTTCAATCAGAAAAAAGTCTTGATTTGTATACTTACATAGCACAGGCCAAGCTGAAGTGAGAATTTATTTCCTGAAGAAAACAGATTTAATGTGAAAGGTGATCCTCAAAAGTTTCACAGCTCCAATTGCCTTGGATAAGCACCAAGAAAGGCAGCTGCTCATCCAAGTGGGTCTCTCATACGTCTGAGAGCTGCACAGTCACAGCCCAAGTGGGGGAGTGTTCCTTCTGCAAGGCCAGTGTACATATTAGAAGTACTAAAGTAGGACTAATATGAAAACCATCAAACCCACATGTTCAGTATCTCATTTGGCATTGTGCTGTGGTCCAGAATTCTGCCCAGCTCAGAGCCTTCAGCTCCTGCCCCTCACTAGTTATGTGTTCCCTCCACCTACCTTAGACTTTGAAATGCTTTCGCGTAACCCCAGATCCTTCTAAACTTCATTGTGTTCATAAAAAGAAAAAAACAAAAACAAAAACCAAACAGCCCCCCCCAAAATAAAACCACAAAAAACAACACCCCCCAAAAAAATGGCACAGAAAACCCAAAAAAACCACCCCAAAACAAAACATCTCCCAATGTTAGCAGTCTTTTAGAGCACTAAACAAATTATGGCAATAAAAATGTTCATTGGAAATTTAAGTCCTCTTCAGTTTTCCTGGTAATACATTTGTTCTTAAACTTAATGAGTGCAAAACCAGAGGACAGAGTGAATAAGTAGCTTATTGTTTGGAGTGCTGAGAGCTGCCTAAAAGGATGTTGTACTGAGAATACATGAAACATGAAAAAGAGACCCATAGGAAAACAGCTATTATTTCAAGTAATCTTCAGCAAAGCGGATGTGTCTATGAAATAACGTTTGGAGACCTTGGGTAATTTTACACCTCAACCTCTGCTCACCAAGCTACTAGATCAGAAATGTTCATAAGCCCTTTTGAAATACCAGTTTTCCATAACAGAAGTGCACTGAAATGTGTGGTATATGGCAAATGGAGGATGGATTAGTGTGCGACCTAATGACTAGATGAACAAAAGAGGGAAAAACATCACACTACCTTTCTGTAAGTTCCATTTATCCATGAAATAACAATTGCATTCATATTTGCATTTCCATTACACAGAATAGCTACCTTCTGACTTACCAGCACAATGGTATTGTTTTATTTATTTAAGCTGAATGGTTTGCTTTTCACAGTATGACCAACTGGTAGAAAAATAGGATTCAATAATGTGAACATTTCACAGTAAATAAATTGCATTAATACAACAATGTAAAAGCTGTGCTCAGCAGTTTCTCTAGGACAAGGTCTGTTCTAGAACTATGCATCCAGCTTTCCAAACACTTGGAGAACTATGAAGGTTACATCTTGTTGTACGAAATAATAAAAAAATTATGCTGAATTTCTGTTTAAGATTCTGTTTATTCACTTCTACCCATTTAAAAAGTTATATGTTTAATTGGCTGCTTTCAAGCAGAATATTTATGTGTCTCTCTTTCTTGTTCATATTCAGTATTGCAGCTTCTGTATAAAATCTTGCAGTGACTAAGGACTACACAAGGAATAGGAAAGCATAGCTATTAGCTCAGTTTCAAAATCACTCTATTCAGAGATCACTCAGCACCCCCATAGGAAAAAAAAAAGGAGAAAGAATTAAAAAAGGTTCTTTAGGTGTTAGATATGTTGACTTGATTGCCTGGCAGTTTAGCGTCCTCTGTGCAGAATTCCTTCTCCTCTGTGGGTTATTCTACAGAGCAAATGCTCTTTGCTCCATTTCTTTGAGCTGTCAGAGACAAAGGGGGTCCCCTCCTTCTCCTTTGGTCTTCTTTGGTTATTGGGGTGTCTTAAGAAAACCCTTTGAGTAGTTTGCTGTGGAAGCAATCAGGGAAACCTCTGCTTCTACCTCCTAAGCAGGTCCTGTTCAAAGAATGTACACCAAACCTGTTCAATAGCCTGTCTCCTTTACCACTGATGGACTGTTTACAAAGTTCTGAAAATAAATGAAGAGACACTTAGCTGGTGTCATGACTGTTGTTCCCTATGGACAGTGATATGCACTGACAGCAACTGCTACTGTGTGGCTGAGGATTTGTTATAAGAGTCGATGGCAGTGCCTTGTGCCAAGAGGGCCCTTCTGTAACGTGTTCCCTTGACTTCTTATCTTCTCTGTTTCTCATGCAGTGCTTCCAATGCATGGCTCAGTTTGACACCAGCCAGTCATTTCTTGTATTTTGCTGGCAATAAATACCATCTGTGCAAGCCCCATGCTACTCAGCATCAATAATGTCCATCAGGGAGAGGTAGTGCATTATTTTGCTGGCACTCAAACTTGTTTGGCCTTCACAAGACAATGAATTCTTTATATATTGCTTAAAGAATTATTTTAGTATTTTGCTTGAGTTTCACCAAAACCCTGGATTCTCTCACTGTGAATGGAAAATCATTGTTGAAGGAAAAGAACTCAGTGAGGTCATGTCTTAGTTTGAAGAGTAACAAAACCAAGATAAAAATAAAAACACTTGCCTGCTTTTAATGCTCCCAGTTGTCCTCTTTCCCCTTGACTACTTTGCAACAACTGCAATCTTTTTATTTCTGATCCAGCATGAAGGAAAAAGAAATGCCTCTTGAAAATATAGTGCTTGAATATGGATAAGCACGTATTTTTCTTCAGAAATTACTTAACTATTCACATGTTCGTAAAAGTACCTCCAACACTGAAGTTAGGAAAAAAAATACTGTGTTTTTAACACTTTGTATTATTCATTGCAATGGGGTAGTTTAGGAGAGTGAAGTGAAACAGTCCAAGTGCTCTGGGTCTGTTGGCATATTGCTGGTTTGATGTTTCTGGCACCTTCAGCTGGAGAGTGTGTGAGCAGGAATCGTGTCCTCCGACATGGACACCTGCCCTGGGACTCGGAAGAAGCTCCTCCACTGCAAGATCAGTCACCCTGTGCTCACACAACCCCGAGGTGTTCACATGCCTGTTGTTGATTACATTCCATCTGCGCCACTGCAACCTGTGGGTCATTAGGAATAGAATTACAGAAGAAGGCAAAATGATTTTCCAAAGCTTTGTGGCCTTTGATAGGGTCAGAAGTACTACGAAAATACACTTAAAGTCATGTTTTTGTCCTATTTGCTCTGGAAACAACTCAATAGAATTTTTTTTTCTGATATGTTCCCCAGTTTCATGTCTAAACTTGTTAAGTACTTACATACGTAGTAATGGGAAAAACCCACATACATTCTACACCTCCTGTTTCTACACTGCATGCACACTGACACACTGCCATTGTTTAGAGATATGCTTGGCATGGAGTATATCCAGGGTGAAATAAATGAACAAATAGAGTGAAAAAATACTGTAGCTATATCCATATTTATTCTTAGCAAGACAACTACATCCTCTGCTGATTACAATTAATATGAAAGAATAGAAATTATAATAAACAAAAAACTTCTCGCACATTATGCATGAGCATCAAGCTGATTTCATTCTAATGTTCCATGACATCCACACAGCAGTCAGAAAGCTTGAAACAATTAACCATAATAAAGAACTGTTTCTGTGCCACTGTTAAATTATAACCTTAAAGACATTGAAATTTCATTGGTGCCACTGTTTCTTGAAGAAACTGAGGAATTAACATCTCTAGTTTTAATTATACATGATCTTTAATTCTATTTTTATGTATATTCATCATCTCCTCTGCAAGGGTGAAATACTTAGTTTTCTCATGGTGATGTCTTTAAAAACCATTTAAGTCAAAGTAGAATGGGTGTTTGAGTAGACCCTTCAGCTGTGTAAGGGATTTCACTCCCTGTGCTGGCCTGGCTCTGCTTCCATTAAAACGACTGCAATTATGATAAGTATCCTCACATGTGGATCTGGCCTTCAGTTTTTTAGTAAGAAGTAACTACAACACAGCAAGAGTTGTAAAGCATTCACTTTGAAAATTTGAGACTTTCTGTAACAAATACTATTTTTTTTTCCCTGTTGCAGTATCCTCCTGTCTGACGACTCTTCTGCTGACAGTAAACTAAATATTGAACATCCCTTCAAGGGATTTGCCTTTTTACTTCTGAGCTTTTCAAAGAAACTGATAAAATGTCTAATTGTTTGAATAATCAAGGCAATGAATATTTGATCACTAACATCAAAGATGAAGCCATAATTCAAGAGCTGAGGTATGTGCTTAATATTGCATTACTCATAACACAAAGAAAATTATAATTTCCTTGAAAATGTGTTTGTTGAAGGTATTTTTCCTCTGTTTTTTGGAAAAGTGGAATGGAGAAATATTGGGAATTAATTTACATATATTTATTTAATTATCCAAAACTTGCCATTGTGCCATTTGTCAAGCTATTGGATGAAAGAAATCAGTGGTCAGTTAAGGAGCATAACCTCAAACTTGGATACACTTCACAATAATTTATAGTTTATAACAACTTAGGCATGGAGGATGGAAGGATTATCTGTTTAGTATCAATGAAATAATTTTGTTTCTGTTTTTGGGCGAGATACACTGACAAGTGACTGTGGAACACTATTGCTGCCCCTTCCTGGGAGTTTCTGCTTGTCTTTTTCTTCCCAGCATCCTGAAGAGAAGACAATTTAGTCCTAATCCCCCTTTCCCATATCACCCCTCAAGGCTCAGAGTCACAACACTGATCATCAAAAAATACACTTCCACTTTGATGTCACCTTGAATGCTCAGGCTGGAGCTCCCCAGAAAACAAAGCAGCCATTTCTATTTTAATATTTCAAACACACCTTGAGCAGCAGTTCAGGGACCTTCCATGAAGAGAGCTACCTAGAGAGCCACCCTCAACTTTATGAAGCCCTTTGCATTTACCTGCCCTGACAAGTTGTTCATATCAAGATGTTTCAGTTTCAGATAATTAAAATTATTAACTACTATCTATCAAGATATAGGGAATTGCAAAAGCATAAAGGCTGTTTAATTGAGCCTGGTCTGATTGAAGAACGTGGGCTTGGACCTTTCCTCCTCTCTGCAGTCCATGGAAAAAAGCCTCATTAAAAAGGACCAAACACAGGCTGGTTCACCCAGGTACCTCCAAGCACTGCACAGAGAGACCCAAGCAACATCCCATGAGGCCAAAATCCAGTTCATAATCCCTCTTTTTACACATTTAATCAGTTTCTCTTTCACTTTGCTGTGTGTGTTCCCACTGATTAGATCTGGAGTCATGCGTCTCCCACTCACTTTTAATCTCCTTTGTTAATTAGATTCTGAATACACTGAGCAGGACTCCAAGCTTCATTTATTCACAGAATGTATTTTCAGCATTATATTTGAACTTTTTCTGGTCTGAATATCCTCGCTGTGCAGTAGCTCAGGTGTCTGAGTGATCACCGGCGCTCTTTAGTGGACTGAAGACTTCCTGCTTATTAATCTAAGTAACTGCTCACCAGTCATATTCTCAACTACCCTTTCATTTCTTCTGCACAGCAACAATATTTGGGCTTTCTGCTTTCTGAAGCAATATAGCAATATTTCACACCACATACTAATCCAGATTCTCTGACAGGAAATGGATCTAGTCAGCTGCAGTCATGTAAAGCTATTTATGAGGGATGTTATCACAATACTCCATTATTTAGTAGAGTTGGTTTTAAAATAAGCAAATATTTATAATATTATATAAAATAATATATTATATAAAATATATTTATATATATTAAATACTAAAATATTTATATATTGTATATTTTAAGCTCTGACTTCAGCCTCTTTTTTTAATAGTTACATATTTTCTAAACCTCCCATTTGGAACTCATGTTTACTGGCAAACTTGATTTCTTTATATTTTTTAAAGGAGAGAGTGAAGAGGGTTTTTTTTTAGGAAAAAAAACCAACAAAACAACTTTGTATTTAAAAGTGACGTGTTCATTTTGTTTGAATAAAATTTAATGGAAATGGAAATTTATAGCCTCTATGAGAAGATAAATCTTACCAAACCTTTTACAAATGTACAGCTAGACAAAGAAAGTGAGGTCATTGCCTCACTGCCATTAGAGATATTAGTTCAATGGCCTGTGGCATCATCATTTTGCCACCACACCCACTCATCAACCATACCTCAAAATGAATGAGAAAGAAGGAAAAAGGCTACCTGCCGACCTCATTTTCAATTAAAATAATAAAATATTGTATGGGTTTCAACTCAATTATTAGATCTATAGTGAATAAATGATCCAAGTGAAAGGATAAAGAGGCTAAAGGAGGTTTATTTATTCAAAGAACTCTCCAATTCCTTGATAGTAGAATTCTTCACTGGATAAAAAGCCCTGCATTTGGGGAACAATAGCTCAAATTGCAGATACTCACTAGCAGAGACAAAACTTGCTTTTAAGAGGGCAGTACTACTGCTGTAATTTCTGCTGTTAAGAAATAATTGCAAATTGTACTTGTGTCTGGACCTCCACTTGGAGATCAAAGACCAATTTAATAAGAAATAATCTCTTATAAAGAAGAAGCCCCATTCTAAGGAATGCCTAAAACAGAAATGCGCATCCAGACAAAATGTGTATGTGCAGTCAACTCTCACAGGGGAGTGAGAGCAACCCTGTAGCTTCCCACAATGCGCTGCTGTGGCTGCTCTCTTTTATCTTACCGTGCCTTAAAAGCAGCTTTTCTTCCTGTCTATGCCAGCTCTTCCACAACAGGAGCTCAGCAGGAGTCCCCAGGTGTGATCCAGCAGCTGCCTTTGGACACCCCAGTGCTGTAAGTCCACTGATGATGGGAGAGAGGGCGGTGGTGGAGGGAGGAGTGGCAAACCACAGCATTAACAGACCCCACAAAAACCCCAACCAAAGAATTGGAAGCATTCACATTAAAAAAAAAAAATTCAAGTTAATTTAGGCATAGCTTGGCTAAACCACAGGGCAGGGAAAGCAGCCAGCAGATATTTTAAGGGCGCGTTTGCATAGGAAATACTTCGAACAGAAATACAAAGAACTATGAAGTATTGTACAAATAGGAGAGATCAAATCAAGGGACAATTAAAAAAATTGACAGCAAGGCTGTGTGGTTGCTTCGTTATGGTTTCCTGAAGGAAACAGTCAAAGCTGTTTCACTGGAAACAGTAAAACACAAAGCAAGTTGGGCAAATGCAGAAGAAAATGTACTGCAGATGAAGTGCAGCAGTGAGAGGTGGGGCAAGAGAGCATTTCCATCCTTTAATGACCTGTTTTCTGGCTGGTGTTTCAATATGATTCTGTTTCTCCGCTCTGGAACCACTAACCTCCCATCATCCAGTGATCCAAAGCAATGGTGCAGACTTTTAAGACCGGCTTGGGAAACTGGTGCCACCATAACTTACCTGTCTGTGCCATTTGGGTTGAGTCCTGCCTCTGGAAAGAGCCAGTAACTGGCATTACATCCTGCAAGAAATAGCCAGGAATTAACTGCTCTATAAAAAGACATAAAAGCATAATCCAATCTTGAAAGTGTGTGATAATTTCCCTAGTCTAGTTTTATAATTGAATGGAAAATCTTCTTTAACATTTCACATAGATTAGTAGAGAACACCTAATTTATGCTACTACCTTATAATACGTTTACTGGAGTCTTCAAAATGACAAACACCTGTCTTATCATTCACACCAAGAATAGGTTTCCACCAGACCATAATAACAAAATGATAATTTGTGACATTCTGAAAGAAGATGGGACTAGTAAAAATCATCATGGAATTGACTTTTTAATATCCCAAGATCACTGTCGCTTAATAAGACTGAAGCTTTGAGAATGAAATTAAAGCATAAATCCCTAGAAGAGACTTTCAGGAGCCTGAGATGCAACTATTAGGTTAAAAAAAAAAATCAGCTTTAAGGTTCTAAATATGTCTCTGTCAATAAAAATGCAAGGAGAGAATGTAAGCACATGCTATTAGAAACAAGAGCAGCTCAGCACTGGAGATGTCTAGGGAATAGAATTCTCTGATAATGTTCAAGGTCCAAAATTGTTCCATCCAGACGAGCAGTTTTATAAAAAGGCCTCAAATTATCAACTGCCAGTGCAGCCAAATTTTGCTCCGTGACAGTATGGAAGGAATAAAACATGTTTTTAAAGTGCTCTCCAGAATCCTGAGCAGCTCAGACAAATGTCCAAACAACTTTTCAGTTATGCCACAGCTCTGCAGACCTGGGACACCACAGCTGGCACCAGGAGAACTGGGGAGAATTCCCTCTCCCCCGCCACAGGAACACACAGGGTTCAGAGGGTGGGCGTCTGACAACCACCCTGTGCAGGGGTGACCTGCAGGCAGGGCTGCCCACAGGCTTCAGGAAACTCTTTGCTGAAGTGCCCCAAGGAATAAGTTGCCTCTAAGTCAGAAGTGCTTCAAAGTCTTTCCCTGGGCTAACAGATTCCCCTTTTGTAGAAGGCAGTCTAGATAATGAATCCTGGCTCAGATGCAGAATTGTTTTTCATAAGATGCTTCAATTTCTGGGAAATAGCAGGGTGGTTTATCTCAACAGAAGACTGTCTTGTCTGATGAGGTCTAACCAGCCTATCTGCTGCCTCATTTCTATAGGAGAGAGCCTAAGAGTGGTGATTATTTTAATTTTTATGTTTAGAAGTTAACGTACAAAAAAACCCGACCACCCAACCTTCTAATTAAAAAAAAAGAAAAAAAAAGAAAAAAAGAATTTGCATAGCTAAAAACAATGGTCAGTTGTGTAAACCATGACAGGGAAGATTCTGGTGGTAAGTCAGAAGTCTGTGTTTCATGGCATGCATGGAAAGAGGCTCTTGCTGCAGCTGCTGTGGCTCCAGTGTAGCAAGACAGAGCTCCTGCAGCCACACTGCTTTAGGTTTTACAGTAAAACCTGGACAGGAGACACACAGCTGTTTGATGCCTCACCGTTGTGTTTGGCCTAGACTGCCAGATGAATTCAGAGTAAACTGGGTGTTCCTATAATGACTGGTAGGTCCAGAGGTGCAAATTGCAGCAGAGATACTCAGTCTGTAGAGGTGAAAAGCTATTTCAGCCCAAATCTCTCTTCCTGTGATGGGCCACAAACACCTGCTCAGCAAGTGAACTCCTGCAGAGTTCACTGATGTCTCCAGGCTTTGGAGCACATTTATGTGGCTGATAAGCAGAAATTTGATCTCTAGATACTTGTCGGTTCAAACTACACAGATACTGCAAGGTGAGATGCCATAGTTTCAATTACTTTTCTTCAATTGGGTGTGTGTAAGAGAGAGAGCAAATAAAAAATAGACAAAACTGCTGTTATTCAGAAGACACCCTCAGAAACAGGGAGACAGAGAAAGATTAAATGTGACAGGGACTCCCTGGAGGGCTTTGCAGGAGTTAGGGAGGACTTTTTTTAACCCCAACACATCTGAAACTGAGAATCTGAGGCAACAAAGGAATAACATTTATTCAATAACAGATAATTTTAATTCATCTGAGAAAGGAACTGGAGAACTATTTAAAGCACAGTGGAACATTATACAAATAATACTTCCTCAGACAACAAAAGGCAAGTAAGGCATGTCTAATGTGAGAGAGGAAATTGCCAGAGAAGCTCAGATAATGCTGCAACCTTTTGTTGATTTTTTTAATAGTGGCTACGATTGTAGAATGGGTCTATGTGCTATGAATTGATGCTGTGAATAAAATTCAGCTACCCTGCTAGTCAATTTTTCTTACCGATAAATACACACCCCAGAAGACACTCACCTGTGTGGCAAAGTAGCATTTAATCCATGTACTTTGCACAGTAGATGGAATTACAATAGGGATTCATTACAGGCTCACTGGTATTTGTATTTGGCATTTCTGACTCTCCCTGGGGACCAGCATCAGTGGTTTAACTGTGGGTCAGCCAGAGGAAGGATGAAGCCAAAGCCCAGCTGGAAAACAGGTGTGCTGGCACAGAGGTATTAGGAATGTGTGACCTGAATCCCACAGCTGGACAGACACCTATGTCACAGAGTTCTCCCTCAGCTTTGAAAAATGAATGTGGAGCGGAATCTCACAGGTCTTGGTCTTTCCAAAACGAAACATGAGAAGCAGATTATGTTTAACGAGAGAAACAATTTTTAGTGACTTCAATGACATGCTGAGTATTTATGTATTACTGACACAAAAGACTGATTTCAGAGGGCATAAACCACATTTGGTTCAGTAAATAGTCTAAGTAATGCTTCTGCTTTGTTGTTATTGTGCTTGAAGCCCTTCATTCTTCCACAAAACAATTGGGCTGTTCAGTGTTCCATTGTCCCCAAATGGAAGGGGAAACACATTGATCTTTCCTAATGTGACTTGACCCTGAATTTATTTCATTGTGTTGGATTCCACTATTTTCACATCCTATCCAGATGAGTTACTGCTTAGCCTGAGCTGAAATCTAAGAAAACAGAGGTATCAGATGAGGATTAGAAAAGCATTTTTTGAGGAATATGACTGAAACTAACCCTCTGCCTTGGTTTAGCAGAGTCATGTCTGGATAACTCTTATCTCCTCCTCCAAGAACTCTTGTCCTCCTTATCTAAGCTTTGCCAAGAGGTAAGATGGAGCACTTGCTGAACAGTGCTTCTTGTGAAACCACATAATTATTTCAAATAGAATTTCTTATAGTTGGTATGTTAAGGTAATCAAAAGACTCTTGGATACTTTTTTTTTCCTTTTTTTTTTTTTAAATTTTTTTTTAATTTTCCTGCAGTCCTTCTTTTTCTATGATGGTCAAAAATATAGAGAGGTCCTTAGAATAAATCTGCTGACTTCAGTGGGTTCCTGACAATTGAAGTGAGTTGGATTTCTAGCCTTGTGATTTAGAGCATGAGAAGATCCACATCAGGTCTGGTCTAGGCCATTAGCCACTCTGTAGCAGTGATTACTTAGGGAAAAGTTATAAGGCTTTGCAACTGAGGCAGAAATTACATCTACCAAGTCCTCGATGGAGTTTTTTTCTTCCACCAGTTTTGCTGCTGGCCTTTTAACCTCAAATATATTTCTGACTCATAGCTATGAATTTGACTAGGTGCCTAAGTAACTGGTTTAACCAAACTAACTTTTTAACTAGATGTTGGAAAATTACCTCCTGATTGTTTTGAACCTGTTATACAATCAGTCCATTTGCTGTCCCTAGTTCTTCCATTTTGAGAAACAGTTTGAGAACAATTTTTTTCCATTAATTTTTTCATTTATGATTGCACAGACCTGTGTCATATCACCCTGAGTTCCCTTTTTTCCAGCTCTAGGCTTGGTTGTTTTCTTTGACAAAGAAGCTGTTCAAAATGTTTGCTCATTCTTCTCCCTGACTGGAGTTCTTTTATTTCCTGTTTCCAGATGAGAACAGATCTAAATAAATACTACCCAGAGACCCCTGACTTTCTTTGAAGACTGCAGTGATCTTTTTAATAGTGCTGTGTAAAAATGACATATGTGAAACACAATGAAATTTGTTGAGACTTCCAACACTGAAGATTAAGTAAATATGATTTTACTCTCTGTACTAAATCTGCTGATGAAGAAGCTAAATTCTCATCATCAGCAGTTACAGCAACTAGCTTGCCTGCTTTTCTCATCCTGGGGATAATTCTGCCTTGAAGATGTTACTCGTTGATATCTTTTTGCCATGACAGATGTTTAAGCTGATACTTGCTTAGATGACAAGAGTGAAAATAGACTGAACATCATTTGATAGAAACCCCCTAACATCAACAGAACCAGTACAGACCCCAAGTCCTTTATCTTACCTCTCAGACAGTACCTTGGCAGCCCTATACATGATAATGTAAGAATAATTGCTTATTACATTTCTGCTGTAACATACAAGCATTGTGTAATTCAGCATTAATGTCTGACAACCCAGCTGTCATCTTTCCAAAAATACTTGCTCTCTAACTACTGTAGCTGCTACTACTTCTGCTTCAAACCAAAGGAAGAGATTCTGCTCCAGGGCATTTTGACAGGGTGTTATCTTTTGAAAAGACAGATGTTTGTGCTGGAACTGTCTGGTGGTTTTAAGGCTTATGCACATGTTTCAATAAATAAGTGCTAAATTACTTGCTGGGTTCTGAGTTAAAGTGGATGACTTCTAGAGAAATATGTCAGTGACACACAAAACTAAGACCAGCACATTCACAAAAAAATTTCAAATTACCTTTTTAACAGCATGAAAAGCCAAGAAGCTCTGCCTTAAAGGTTTATGAATGTGAAAGGACACTGAGAATGTATGAAAGAGATGTTGTTGTCATTTTCTTCCCTTCTCCATTTCATTTCCCAAGAGAAATACTTCCTAGGGAGGGCAAATAATTCCTTACCTTATAAGCGACTTTATTATTTGAAGTAGTATGTTGGTACTTATTGACCCAACTTTGATTTGTAAGCTGATGATGAAATTAATTTGGCCTTTGGTGTAACCAC